AACCTTGAACACTCGGTTCAGAAAGCCTCAGCGTTCCTGCTTCCATCGTTACCACCACTGCTAATCCGCTTCTCAGGTTGGGAATTATACCTGAATCGTCGTAGTTTTGTCAGGTGCAATTCGGATGATATCCTTTAGTCTATCTATTTCGCTCCTCAGTTTGGGAATTATACCTGAATCGTCGTGGTTTTGTCAGGTGCAATTCGGATAATATCCTTTAGTCTATCCATGAAGTAGATGAAGCCATCGTCATCGTACTGCACCAGGTCTCCCGTGTGCAGCCAACCGTCGCTGTCAATGGCGCGTGCCGTCGCTTCAGGGTTGTTGATGTAGCCGCGCAGTATATTATATGGATTACGGACGCACATCTCTCCCGCTACACCAGGGGGCAGCAGCTTCCTAGTGATTGCGTCCACCACCTACGCAGATGCCATCATAATTATACTTACATAAATAAATTTCCAGTTGGTATGTGTGATGTGAGTTGTAGTATGTGGTACAATTCTACTTAAGGATACCATAGAGATGTCGCCTCAAACCAATAATATTATAGCATTCGGTACAACCAAATAGCACGTACAACTAAATCCGGTAAGCCAAGTAGAACGGATTATGGGTCGCCAATAAATCGCAACAGCCAAAAACAAATATGATATATACCTTAATCTGTGTGTTTGCTAGAGGTTTTCCTAGAAGACATCCTCTCGTGTTGCTATCCTGATCCTTTTCCGGCGGAGCGCCTATGACTGATCCGACTTCAGACATTCCGAAAAGCTCTAAATAGTTAGTTAGATAATTAGTTATATACGTGTATCTCGGTGGCTTCAGGCATCAGGTTATACGGCACTCAGGAAAGCAGTCCTTCGGTGAACGGTAATGTAATTATATAAATAAAAAGCAAACTTGTCATGCAACATCTGATGATTAGAGAACAAAGTAGACCACGTTTAATTGACGGAATTTTCAATATGCACTCTTATCTCTGGAAGCTATTTATGTCTAAGTCTAAGTCTTACTACTATTAATGATCAGGTGTGGATGCGTAATTCTAGCTTCTCTGATAACTGCAGGGCTGCAGCTGCCCCCCGCCGTGTCACAGCGTTGTAATGTGGGCAGCTCGTAACCTTGCTTTACCAGACTGACGATCAGTGGAGGAATGCAGAAGGTATAGGTGACCTATAGAGTAATAAAATCATGGCGCGGCAGTTAAAATAAACTTGCATTTTGGGAATATGATACAAATACTAAGGAATAATATTGAGTTTGTAACGAAACGATATGCTCATGATTCTCGTGAATTTGACAAAGAAGATGAAAACGAGACTCTAACATAAATTAGCAACATACTAATAGATACTAAATTTCTAATTGTTGTATATACAATCACAACTTCATATAGCACATATCTGCCGGGCTAATATACCTTGTATTTGTTTATTGCTGCACTGTATAGCCCAGGATTACTGAGATTAGGCAGGGACAAGGTTACTGCCCCTTGAGCTAAACTGTGTATCGTTATATACATGCCGCCTCCGAAAGCTTGAGGAGTTGCCACCAGAACTACGTCTTCTTGTCTCATGTTTACGCTAGAACGAGTAGCCAATGATATGGAGTTCGTAGTTGAAACCAGATATCTACCATATTTGCTTGTGCAAGATGGCTATATAGTGCTGGCTATATACATACGCATTTTAATTTCGTTGAATGGATCGATAAATTCACCAGTTAAGTTCTTACTCATTCTTCTAAATTTCTAGTCTAATTGTTCGAGTTTAAATTCATTTGCGTTACTGTTGTCTGTCATGCATAATCTTAACTAATGCACGATATTGCTACCCATCAGTGACTGTCCCTTATATTGTGTGACGTTGGGGAATGCTTAATACCAGGTTACAGTACAGAGATTAGCCACGAGTTGTTTGTGAGTCCAAGGTATGCCCTTTGGCGGGCCAGTTGTTCCGCTGGAATATAGCACGATGGCTAGGTCACCGGATTCAACACGGTTGTCTTTAGGAAATGCGTCGCCGCTGTCTTCCAGCAAATCATTAAATGGTATACACTCTTTGTCTACAATGCTGCCAAATGAAATCCGTGCCTAAAATAGCAAATGGTAAAAAACGGCGACTAAATATGGAGCGGCAGGTGTTTTTTTTGGGGGGGGCGCGTAGGAACAGATTGTCTCATAGTGCTATGCTGTTTTATGACTGCTAAAGTTTCGTAGTTTGAAGTGCTATCTCAAACTCGCAGAGACTTTGCTACGTAGTAAAGAAATCAGGCCAGTGGGCATTCACAAAAAGGTGAACGTGTCCTAGTCCACGATTATATATATATATATATTATATAATATATTATATATGTGTAAAATGTATATAATATATAATGTATATATATATTATCTTAGTCACGTACCACGTTTTACTCCACCAAACGCCTCCACCAACTTTCCTCGCAGTGTGAGCTCGTCACTAGATTACGACGAAAAACTTTAAAGCTGCCACAGAACTTCGCAATTTGTCCACGTGTTAAAGTATCTCGGGCTGAAAGCAGGCACCTACGCTTGCGGTAGGCCCGATATTGTCACGCCGTGGTTTCATCACTTACTCACAACCTATCTACTAATTAGTTATATAATTATGAAGGTGATATCTCATTTTAATTAACAAAATATCTGCAATATATTGTATTTTAATAACAAAAATTTGGGCGGCATTTCTCAAATCTGTTGCTGACCTATAGGAATCCTTAGCTTAGCATGGCCGCGAAAATCATTTATCGATGTAGTGTAAGGACAATAACCCACCTACAGAGGATCCAGGAATCGCAGACGTCAGGACGGCCCCTAGCGAGTAAACTGCCAACATCGTGATCACGTACTCTGGGCAGTTAGAACTGCACACAAACACGACGTCACCTTTCCTGAGGCCGCGCCGGGCCAGACCGCTAGCTACTCTCCTTACAGACTCCCGCAGCTTTCTGTACGACAACCTCCACTCCTTGCTAGCATCAGGTGGTCCAACACTGCGCCCGATCTAGCAATGTCACGATATAGCGAATATAACGGTGAAACACCGGCCACAGGATTGTAGCGTTTGACATTTTTACGTTTTGAATTTCTGGGGTTTGCTTGGATTGTTGGATAGCGTGTTTGCAAGATGGATATGAAAAGGATAAAAAGGAAAGTACCTGTATGTAATAAACAAGAAAAAGGAAAACATGAATGAAAGGCAGATGTAGAATGTAGGCTGTGATAGCCAAGATTTGAAAAATCTAAGGAGAGTACCGATAGACGCACTTGGAGAACAGCACACAGCGACTTGTAACATAATGGTAAAAATAACAATTAACGACTGTATTTAGAAAATTAGAGAAATTCTTGCCAATTCTCTTCTTATCCGCCATTCTGTTACCCATTATTGCATATTCCACCAGCCACGCGTATACCTGATTTACGCGTGGACACTCGCCCACGACTAATGTAAAAACGTAATTGTAAGACCTACCACAGCTATGGAGTCCTGTGGCTTGTTCAACCAGGAATGTTGCTCAAGGAAATCATTCACCGACATTTCTGGCACATCGACATCTGGGAACTGGCTCTTTAGTATACGTCCTTCTTGTCTGTCCATCACTATAGCTGTTTTATGTTCTGTATAATTATCCTTAAATATAAAAGATTTGCATACTCTAAGTCTCGTATTCCGTATTAGCTCTAACTGCTACTCTTTCTACGTCCTACTCACTCACTTCCCCGCTGTCTCTCTATCTATATATTTATAGCTAGCTATTCATTTAGCTATTTATCTTGCGCTCTATCGCGCACACACCCTTTCGGTTTCTGGTAGGCATAGATATTAAACTACTTTTCTATGGTAAAATATTCCCGTATGACTTACCGACCTCTCAAAGAGTGAAATGATATAGCAACTGAGCTGGCGAGCTATCAGAATATGTGTGTGTGTGTGTGTGTGTGTGTGTGTGTGTGTGTGTGTGTGTGTGTGTGTGTGTGTGTGTGTGTGTGTGTGTGTGTG